AGTCCTCCAGTGCCTGAGGGACTGGGAAGAGAGGCTAGCTGCTGTTGGGCATTTGGGCTCCAAAATGTGGTCCCAGGGGTGGCTACTGGGCCAAATGGCTGGTTAAAAATTGGAACTGGGAAGGGGACCACAGGTGGAGGTGGCCCAGGAAAGACTGGTGCCATGGCAGGTATGTGGGGTTGGATTGGGGGCAATGGGATAATGCTCCCCATGGTGTTTGGGGGAGATCTGAAGATAGTAGCATGGGATGGGGGGGTAGTGTCCATGTCAGTGACCCCATTGATAATGGGGGTCCCACTGGAAAGGACTAAGGGAAGGGTGTGGACAGGAGGTGGAGGAGGAGGAGGAGGGGAGCCTATCCACATGGGTACAGGAGATTCGTTTTTGCAGGCTGGAGGCTTAAACAAGGGTAGAGGTGTGAGAATGGTAGAAACGGGAGGCACTGCAGCCGAGGTAGAAGGAAAAGGACCCCCGCTTCCATTGCTTGGGCTGCCTGACGTGGTATTAGATTTATAGGCAGGAAGGGAGTCGGAAGGAGCAGCTGAAGGAAGAGAATTAGCAGTTGTATGTATTATTTTCTCATTAGTTTTCTGTATGGGGAAAGACAGAGGGACAGATGGGAGGGGTGGGCAGGCAGAAAGGTCACCTGAGTCGGTACTGGTAACAGTAGCTGGGACTTGAACAGTACTAGTGGTGGTGGGCAGAGACGCTGCAGTCTTCCCTACAGGTGGAACTAAAGAGGAGGCAGGTTGAGGGGCACTCTGATCAGCCTTGGCCTTTGTTTCATTTTCCAGTGCCCTCACTTTGTTCTCCAGTGCCTCTACTTTGTCCTCTAACCCCTCCACTTTGTTCTCCAGTGACTCCACCTTATCTTTCAGCACCTCTACATTATCTTTCAAAGTGTCCACTCTCCCCTGCAAGATCTTCCTGCTCTTTAGACACTTGCACTTTGAGGTGCCCAGGTCTTCTTCCCAAAGGATTCGAGGAAGTTTTGGTGGTGGGGGCAACTCATTTCTACCCCAAGGCAGCAGTGACGGCAGCAGCAGCGGTGGAGGCAGTGGCAGAGGCATCAGCAGCTTCCTTTTGATGGTCTTCTTATTGGGAGCGATGGATGAGGAGCAGCTCCTTGATGGAGGGTGTGAAGTCTTTGCATCTTGGACCTCCTTCCCTGACACCAGAGGGGCGGGAACACTGGACAGATGGATCTTATCCAACACACCCTTAGCCAACTTCTCCTGCAGAGGGAGGTGGTCTGAAGCCAGGTCAGGGAGCGCTCCCGCCCCTGCATCAGGCTTCTGAAGAGGCGGGCCACTTCTAGCTTGGCTATGTGAGATGGGGACAGCCTGGTGGTCTTCCAGGAGGCGGCTTGTCTGAGACACCTGGACCTTCTCACTCACAGTGGTTGGTCCAGAGCTGTCCTTCCAGGAAGCGAGGTCGAGGTCTCTCCTAGTATCTGGAGGCCCAGGCATACACGGCACTTCCAGACTGATGGTGGATTCCCATTGTTTAGTCCCACGCTCTCTAGTTTCTAAGAGAGTCTCCCCCTTCTCCACCGTCACTTTTCTGGGGTGATCAGATGTCAAGGTCCCATCAAAGTCTACCTGGCCAGGTAGAAAAGGAGGAATCTTCAAATCTTTCGTGAATTCGAACCGCAAGCAGTTTTTAGCAGATGGTGGGGGGTTCCTCGGGGCGTCTCCCCAGGATACCGGGGGAAGTAGCTCCACAGAGGAGTCCGTAGTCTGTTCAAGAGAGCATCGCTTCTTCTGGGCGAAGCAGAAGCCCGCTGGTAAAGGCTCGCACTCTTGTTCTCGCTTGACATGCCTGCGAGCAGGGCGAAAGTGTGCACCTGCGCCTGTGCTAGGCGGTGGAACATCGCGGGTTGGGCGACTCAATGGGCCATGGTCAAGAGGAGGCCGCCTGCGGGACAGGCGGCCAGTCTTAATACGGTTGCTCATTTAAAGCAAGTTGTGCGCCGGCAATCTCAAAAATAGAGTAGGATGTGGAGAGAAACTCTCCTTAGCTACCAACTCAGTAGAGATTCAGCAGGCACTGAGAGCTTGGCGCTTGTGACGTCTCCTAGAACACGTCACAGAGGGAGGGGGTGTGGTGGAGAGGGCCAGGAGCCAATCCCAGGGCATCAAGAGACAGTGCCAAAGGTCAAGGGGCAAAAAGAGAGGTCCGCCCCTCCCCCACCTCCCCGCTGGATGGTCTAGTGTCTGGAAACGTCCACTGCTGATGGTGGATGTTTGGCCCAGGTAGCCCACTGGGTGGGGACTGCTGAGGTCAGTGAGGACTGGAATCGCCAGGACTCATCCTGCCTGGCACAGGTTCTGCGGACCCTCAGCCCTGCCCCCCGGGTGCTCGTGTGTGCATCCCCTGAAAATGGCTGCTGATCGGCCAGCCCTCTTGTTCAGGTCACCCGGACAGACGCTGCTCAGGGCTCAGCCGAGACAACCCAGGTGCTGCCAGGCTTTCCTGGGCCCTCTGTTCCTTTGCACATCTGCAGCCGCGCACTGTTCTAGTGCTGTCATGGCTGCCATGTCGGGCGTTCAACTGTCAGGACGCGAAAGTTCCCTAGAGGCCTCAGTGCTCTGAACTGACTGGATGTTGCACCCCACTATATCCCTACGGTTCTCTTCACTTGTGTTTATTGGTTGGGTAGAGAAGCACCTTGATCCCGTTCTTTGGGGTCCCAAGCTCTGGAATCACAGTTTGTGCGGTCAACTGTGTTGCCCCATTACACAGTGGATTACCACTTCCCCCCTTTAGCCTTTATGGTACCGAGCGCCATGGCATATTTATAACGGCACGTGTACAAAGTCTTAGTCAACTCATGAACTGACCATAGCCCACCTGGGCGTCAGTTTCCTGAGAACATATAGGGCAATCAACCACCAATCATCAGTGTAGCCTCATTCTGCAATCCCTTCTAAGTAAGCCTTGCAGCCCAGATTTTTTGGTCTAGTTTGAAAGACCCATATGTGTAAGGATTGTGTGCTCAATCTATATTGATCTATCCTGAAAATATTCACCAGTGGATTGATTATTTTTTCCAGGTCTTCCTAGACTGTGTTGAGGAAGCAAGAATCTCCTTTATTTGCAAGTTAATAATGGAACAAGGTATTGTATTAAAGTAATGCCAACACAGTTTAGTCTTATCAACACATCAGCTTGTCAACTCTTGACTATGTATATTGTCACACAAATGTAATTCTAAATAGTCTTATGCCCAAGAGAGGAGACATAGTGTTGGGTTTCTGGGCAAGGGGAATATGTATTATTATCCTAGCACTTGGGAGCTTCAGCATGACAAAAAAGACCTGGAAAATCCTGCACATGGATTCATCTAAATATTTGTATCATGTTTCTTTGGCTTACTTCACTAGAATATTTTTTTCTCTGATGGGGCTGATGTGTATCAGATGTTTGAGAAGCAAGAACCACAGAGATAACTAAAAATATTTAAAACATTTTTAAGAAGGCAATTTAAAATAACATTGAAGAAATTAACCTATTACAAAAATTGTTTTTAGCCTTGTTTATAAGATTCCTTTCAAGGTATGACAGCAAATTAGGACTTCCCTCACCAGTAAACATTGAGATTAGTAGGACACAAAAGGTTTTGCTCAGACTTAAATTCTGTTTAAAAGAGGAGAAACATTATAAGCCCTTCTAACCTCTCTTGAATGGGAATGATTTACAGTTATGGCTCTTAATCGTAATTCCTTGATATCATTTAAGGGTAGTTGAACAAAGAGCAATCTCTTGACATTATTTGAACAAAAAAATGACAAACTGGGACAACGTTTGGATAGCGTTTTGTACAGGAGCTCTGAAACAGATGACCATATGTCAGATGTATTTGAAAACAATAAATTACAGTCATGTTAGTTCTTTTCTCTTTCCAAAAGAGGAAAAATTTGTTAATCATTTGATGAATATTGGAGCTTCAGGACAATAAAAGTCAATCTGGACAAGGGTATTCCAGAAATAATTCACCTCTTGATTTTTCTTGTCAAGTGGAAATAGACAAGATCCTTGTTTTGGATTTTCTTATTTGTCCTTGTAAGGCCAAAAAAAAAAAACCCATTAGATGTCAAATAGTTATTCTGAGATAATTTGGCTTGATGGAAACAAACATATTAAGAAAAAAAAATTTTCAAGGCAAACTATTTACCAAAAAATTAAATAAATAATTAATAAAAATACTTCAATAATAATGATAATTTACAGTTGCCAGATGAAATTACTTTTTGTTTGATTCTTTTAAAAAGCACCAGTCTGTAGTCACATCAAATAAACCTGGGTGGGGGGATGTGTCACTGGATAAAATTGTAATGGGGACAGTAAATCACTGAAAATCTGTGGCTGAGCAGTCTTGCTCTGTTTTTTCCACAATCGAACATCATACAGTTAATGAGGAGACACACGGAGAGAGGCATGGAGTTCATTAAATTAACTTTTTTCCCTGAAATAACTTTCATCTCCTTGCTTTCAATCTCTGTTTTTCCTTCTGGCCTTTACCAAGGGTCAGCAAAAAAAGACTGACTGTGCTCCCCTTCTCAGGGTAGTCTTTTCTTGATCTTTATATTCACCACACGTCCACTCCACTTTCTCTTTTCTAGAAATACACAAACATCTGTCTGGTGTTGATGACTTCCACAATCTCTTGACTTTCATTGGCCTACTAATTTCGGTATTTCTATGGTTGTATTTATTTATTTTTAGGTTTTTGCCATGAGGTGTGTGCACTCACTAGAGAAAGACAGAGAAAGGGAAACTGAGAAATCACTCCCCCTCGGTGGGGGGATGGCCATGCTGCAATCCCTTTTCCTTCATTTTCCTCTTGGGATTTTGGGCCTACACATGTACCCAGTATGATTTTTTAAGCCAGTGGGTTCCAGGACTTGAACCATGGTCTACTATTGGGAGTCCAGCACTTGCTGGCCCCTCTACAGTTGGTTTTTTTTTTTTTTTTT